GAGAGAGAGAGAGAGAGAGAGAGAGAGAGAGAGAGAGAGAGAGAGAGAGAGAGAGAGAGAGAGAGAGAGAGAGAGAGGTTCACTTTTGTTTTCCCTTCTGCATTTTCGCTGATGGCTGAGGTAAAAAAAAAAGTGGGATGTGGCGAGAGAGAGAGAGAGAGGGGGGCAGGGAGAGAGGGACACAGAGAGAGAGAGAGAGAGAGAGAGAGAGAGAGAGAGAGAGAGAGAGAGAGAGAGAGAGAGAGAGAGTACACCTTGAATTTTTTTGGTAATAACATGGAATTGATCAGGGATAGAGTCTGATTCCCCCCCTCTCCTGACAAAGGCCAAAGGCCCTAAACAAGTCAAGAGGGGGTAAGAGAGGGGGGGAGAGAAGATTGTGGAAAATTAATGTTAACTTCATTCCACTTGACAGGTGTATTGGTGTTGAACCTGCATAATACTCCATATGCTATCTCTTTTGAATGAGGAAAAGACAGAATCGTTACATAATTATATGTGGAATATTTCCATTTTCTTTTTCTTGCCAGTGGGTTGCGACTGTTCTTTTACACGTTCATGTTGATTATATTCTGCAGGTAAATTTCTCTCAAATTTCTGCTCTCCTTGGGCAGCAAGAGCTTGAAGGTCGTCGTGTTCCTCGTATGGTATCTGGGAAGACGTTGCCCTGCTTTCCGCCTTGGGACACCTCCGCTAGATCAGGCGGTTTCATTTGCGATCGGTTTCTCACAGGCTTGAGACCCCAAGAGTACTACTTCCATTGCATGGCTGGACGAGAAGGGTACGAATGACATACTCACACTAGTCCTTACTCTAGTGCATCTGCTCCCCATTCCAGTCAGATACGCCGCAGAAAGTCCCAAGTGATAGTATGGCCTAATTAGCAATCTATCTTTTTCAATCCCTTCCCGGTTTTCCTTCTCGTGATGTCTGACGAATCCTATAGTAATGAGTCTTCCTTCGCAAGTACTAAGTAACTATTCATTACCAATTTCTACGTAACGATTCCTTAGCAAGTACTAAGTAACGATTCGCTTCGGGAAAACCATACCTTAGGTGTCAGGGCTCAAACGTTCAAAACCATGACATCCATCCATCAGGCAGCGGAGCCAACATAGAGGCGTCAACTCAGCCCTATCGGAGGTGGCAGTATATTTCCATATTCAAATGGAAGATATCATTCCTATTTTGCTCATCCTATCGATGGAAGTAGCCTCT